CTAGGTAATATAAAAGAAGGATGCACAATTCGTCCTCAAAACTTACAAGAGTCAAAGGATTACACACCCTTAATGATTTTCAAAAATTATTAGGTGATATTAATTGGCTGAGACCATATTTAAAACTAACAGATTTGAGTCTTTTGTTTCAGATTTTACAGGGGGACTGTTCTCCGACTTCTCCTTGTTAGCTCTCAACAGAAGCAAGAACGGCCTTAAAGAAGGTTGAATTTGCTATTAAAAGTGCTCATCTTACAGAATTAACCCACAGGAGCCTACATATTTATTAATATTTCCCACTGCTTATGCTCCTACAGGAGTGATATGGCAATCATTGGGAGATATTGAATGGATCCACTTAGTTCATTCTCTTCAAAAGTCATTAACTCCTTTTCATGATTTTGTTGCTAAGTTGGTTATTAAAGGCAGAACTCAAGTTTTACAGCTGGTTGGATCATAACCTAATATTATTTTTATCCCTTATTCTACTCAACAAAATGATTGGCTTTTCCAAACTTCTAATACTTGGCAAGTAGCTTTTGCTAATTTTCCTGGTCAGATAGGAAGTCACTATCCTCATGATAAAATTATTCAATTTGCCTTAGTAACTACATTTATTTTTCCAAAATTGTGCATGCTCAACCAATAGATGGAGCACTATCCATGTTCACTGATGGGTCAAGTTCAGGTAAAGCAGGTTTATATAGCCATGCTCAGACAGAGGTAATCCTGCACAACGTGCAGAACTTCAGGCTTTCACGTGTGCTTTAAATCATTTTGCAAATGAGTCAATTAATATTTAATTCTGATAGTTTACATGCAGTTAGAGTTACAAAAAATATTGAAACTTCACCTATTGGGTACACACCATCACAAGAGTTATTCAATTTGTTTCATACCTTGCAGAAGACAGTTCAAACACATCAACATGCATGTTTTATAGGCCATACACAGACCCACACTAATCCCCCAGGGCCGTTAACATCAGGTAATGATAAGATTGATAAACTGGTTGCTGTTTGTCAGCAACTGTCTTTGTATGACTGTGCACAGGCTTCACGTTCATTACATTGTCAAAATGCTTCTAGTTTGCATAAAAAAATTTATTATTACTAGAGAGCAAGTGCGTCAAATTGTACATCAATGCCCACAATGTGTTGTACACATTCCATCTTTACCATCTGGGGTAGATCCCCACAGGTTATGACCAAATCAGTTATGGCAAATGGATGTAACTCACATTCCCCAATTTGGCAAATAATGTTATGTACATTTAATTGTAGGTACTTATTCCAGATTTATCTTTGCTACAGTCTGTGCAAAAGAAAATACTCCACATGTTATTTCTCTTTGCCTAGATGCTTTTTCAGTATTAGGATGTCCTTTACAGATTAAAACTGACAATGCACCAGCTTATACTAGCTCTTCTTTTCAGCAGTTCCACCAACAGTTTCGTATTGACCATAAAACAGGTATTCCTTACAACCCTCAGAGTCAAGCCATTGTAGAACGAGCTCATTTATCTATTAAACTGTAATTACAAAAATGGAAAGGGAGAAATAGGACCCCTCCCAAAATAACCTTAACCATGCCTTGTTTGTTTTAAATTTTCTAAATTGTGACTCAGAAGGTCACATTGCAGCTGAGAGACACACATCTTCCACAGTAACAGATTCTTTAAGCCAAGTTTGGTGGAAAGATTTACAAACAGGTCAATGGAAAGGACCAAATCCAGTGATGATATGGGGTAGAGGTCATGCTTGTATTTTCCCAGAAGGTGCATTTTATCCTACTTGGGTACCTGAATGTGCCATCAGACATGGAGGACCTAGAGCGAAGGTTCAAATGACTGAGGATCGATCCAGAGATGACTCCTTACAAGAAGAGGAAGGATGAGGGGGAAAAAAAAAAAGATGACCCAGAGAGACCCAACGGTGAAGCTACCCTCATGGAAGTTGTTGAAAAATCTGACGTTACAGGCTGAGCAGATGATCCAGTAGCAAGGAAGGACTAAGTCTCCAGCTATGAGCTTAAAGCAATGCTAGCTGTATTGAGCTGCCAGGTAACTGGGACACAGGGAGAAACGTATCTACATACTTTCCAGATCCACCTTTAGTACATCCAATGGTATGGACTAGAGAATCCATCCCACTATTTACTAATGACTCACATATGATGGGAGGTTTTACAGACACCCATAGTATTCCCATCCAGATGACTGGATTTAATTATTCTGGCTGCAGTGGTCAGTTACCTACATGTTGGTCCCCCAATAAATATGCTGGCTGTCTAAAAGTGTCCTTTGAGGAAAACAGCAGTTGGGGGGCCTAGACCAGCTAATCATACTGGCCTCAAGTACTCAAAGCCATATTAGAACAGTTATTAAAAGGGATTCTCTCATAACAAGCCAGTCATTTCAGCAGAATGTTCATTAATACCTCACTGTCCTAACTGTTCTGCAGTAGAAATTGGCACATTCCCTAAATGGATGGATTGTATAAATACCTTCCTAATACAGCATAAATTGTCTAGAAATAGTGGGTATATTTTAGACTGGTCTCCGAGGACTGACAAAAAACAATTATATAAGGGTGCTGCCATGACCCCTGGAGGATTTGTTAGTAACATCTTGACCTTCAGCAAAGGTGGCATTCAGAAAGATGGCTGGAATCTGACTGCAGCCTCAGAATATTTACATTTTACTGACAAACCTTTACCTGACTTTGTAGGCAGAAATTGTAGTAAGGAAGGTTCGTATTATGGCCTGTGAGCCTGTGTTCAATCTCCTTATGTTTTAATTACTAGAGATGTGAAAGTCAAAAGAAAAGACGACATATATCTTGTAGCCTGTAAAAAATGTAATTTAACTAATTGTATCACCAGATACAATACAGAGAAGGGAACACTGATACTTCACCAGCCCTCTTTTGTTGTATTGCCAGCTAATATCTCAGAGTCATGGTATGCTGATCCTGGTTTTCAAGTGTTACAACAAATACATGCCCAGCTGACTAGACCTAAGTGAGCTCTTGGACTTATAATACTTGGAGTGGCTGCCTTAATTTCATTTATTGCTTCCACGGTCATAGCTTCAGTGGCCAAAATATTCAGCATGCAGATTTTCTTAATAATTTGGCTTAGAACACTTCCAAAGCTCTTTATAATAAGATAAATATTGAGGAAAGGATTGAAACTAAGCTAAATGCCTTAGAAGCTACTGTCATAAATATTGATAATGAGCTTTCAGCTTTAAGGTTCAAGGAAAGACTCAAATGTCATACTGATTATAAATATGCGTGTGTTACCGCTGCCAAATACAGTGCTTCCCAATGGAATTGGGAAATGGTTAAAAACCATTTATTAGGTATTTGGCAGAACAATAATAACAACTTGGATCTTTTGGACTTACATCATCATAACCAAGATATACAAAAAAAGTAAGATTAATTTTTCAGATCCTACCTCTTTACCTGATCAAATACTTCAAGAGTTGAATGGTTTTAACCGCAGAAACATACTAAAACATTCTACATGGTATATTATTGGACTGTTCTCTTTGCTATTAATCCTCTCTTGCAGTCATAGGATGTTGTGCCTTCAGAACAAGAATTCTAGATAGCGACTCATCACATACTTTTTCAAAGAAAGAAGGGGGAATATGTCAGGAGCTGCTCTGGAAATATGCCCTTAAGTCCTGAGCAAGAGATACTGAACAATTATTGCACCCCACAATAACTTGGGCTTTACCTCTGCTTGGATAATTAGGCATGGCTCCAGGAGTAGACGTTACCTGGTGGGACTGAGTTACACTCACCTGTTCCTTTGTAATCCTACCCTTTGTCCCTTTTTTCAGATAGGATGTTCTAAGAAACAGCATCCCCCAATAAAAGCCAACTCCAGAACGTGCACTCCCTATCTCTCATCAGCCTCTCATGACTTTCTCTTGTCCCCTTGTGGGAGCCTGAGGCTGGGAGCCAGGGAAGCCATCCTGAAACTTATAAAAAGTTATTCCGTGTCTGCATGGTAGGCTGGATGGGAGCAGCATGAAATGCTCAAAAAAGGTAAATTAATTGATAAAAAAGTAGATTAGTTGTTGCCAGGGCACAACAGGGGAATGTCTGCTAATAGGTATAGCATTTCTTTGGGGGAATAATGAACACATTCTGAAATTAGATGTACAACTTTGTGAATATACTAAACCCCAAGAAATTGTGTACTCATAAGGATAAACTTTATGCTATGTGTATTAATTATATCTCAAAAAACCCTGATATTTTACAAAAATGATCCAGGAAGTAGAAGGATTTATAGATTAAAAAAAGGTTAATCATAAGTTAACTTTTGAAGGTGGATGATGAGTACCTAGAGATAACAATGCACTATTTTCTCTTCTTTTAATTATGTTTGCAACTTCCTATAATATAAAGTTTTTAAATGCTATAAAATAATGTGGCTGATAATAGAATAATATGATTATGTATTTCCTTGAAATCCAGTCTTTTACTTCCACTTTTAGGGTAAAGCACACATTTAATGGAAATTTGGGCTCTTTAACCCAAAAGTCAAGATAAATTAATACACCTAACCAAATTACACCAGAGAAATGTAAAAATCAAAATTGTACGGCAAAAATTACCTCAAAATATTTCTACTCATCATCAAAATTGGCTTTACATATATAAGAATACATTTTATAAAGTGAGTTAGGCTGAATGGAAGTCAAAGTTGCAATGCTAATCTCAGCTCTCCAGTGTTTTGCTAAGTAACTCATACCAAGTGCTTTGAGGCTAAAGGGCTGCTTTCTGACATATAATAGGAACCTGGAGAATTAACTTCTCTTTTTGTGGGGAAGAAAAGTGAAAAGTAACAAAAAAAGTATTTCAGAAAAGTACTACCAAGCATTTATAAGAAACCATAAGGTTTCATGACACACTATTAAACTTCATATGCAAACATTTTTATATAGATTATCTTTTCTGGAGGACTGTAAGATAACTCACAGAAGACTACTCGTCAGAGGTTTCATGCGAATGTCCACAGAAAGCCACAACAGCCAGTTCTGCAGTAGCTCTTTCAGACTCTGAAGAACACTACACTGCGGAGGCAAAACAAAACAAAACAAAATTCATTCAAGATATCATTCAGACATAACAATGTTCAGAACAGAGGGTAGAGGCAGAAGGGACCATAGAGATGACTGTCTTAGAACTCAATAGGTGCTGCTCCAACATGGTAATTCTCCAGGTGACAGATGACCTCAAACACAAGTTTATTTTGCCATTTTCTCTACAAGAAACTCACCTCAACAGGACTGGCCTAAAACAAGACTTTTTTCTCTAAATTATATTCATTTATAACAAACATTATATCATCAAATAAAAACATCCTTTCCAGGAGTGGTAGAGCATGCCTGTAATTCCAGCTACATGGGAGACTGAGGCAGAAGGAGCTCAAGTTCAAGGCCTGCCTAGGCAACTTAATGAGACCCTATCTCAAAATAAAAAGGGGCTAGCGAGAGGATGTGAAAAAAAAGGGACAATTTTACACTGTTGGTGGGACTGAAAAATAGTACAACCACTATGGAAATAAATATGAAGGTTCCTCAAAAGATTAGACATGGAGGGCTGGGGATATAGCTCAGTTGGTAGAGTGCTTGCCTCACATGCACAAGGTACTGGGTTCAATCCTCAGCACCACATACACACACACACACACAAAAAAAAAAAAAAAAAAAAAAAAAAAAGACTAGACATGGAACTACCATATGACCCAGCTATACCACTCCTTGGAATTTATCCTGAAGAAGTAAAGTCATCTTACTTCAGCAATACATGCATATCCATGTTTATAGCAGCACAGTTCACAACAATCAAATAACCAAATTAGGAAACCAGCCTAGGTGTCTATCAATGGATAAAGAAAATATAGTATATATACACAATGAAATTTTATTCATCCATAAAGAAACATGAAAATTATGTCATTTGTGGGAAAATGGATGGAACTAGAGACCATCATGTTAAGTGAAATATGTCTAACTCAGAAGGTCAAGGGTTATATTTTCTCTCCTATGTGGAACCTAGAGGGGAAAAAGGAAAAGAAAGGTGGGAGTGGATCTCCTAAAAATCAGAGAGAGATCAGAAGAGGCAAATGAACAGGGGTGGTGGGTAGAGAGGGAAGAGTAAGTATTGGGGAGTGATAGTGGACAAATTATATTGTTATAATGTGTGCATGTACAAAGATGTAACAACAAATGTCATTATTGTGTACAACTATAATGCACCAATTAAAAATGTGGGGGAGGGGCTGAGGTTGTGGCTCAGCGGTGAAGCGCTTGCCTAGCATGTACGAGGCCCTGAGTTCATTCCTCAGCACCACATAAAAATAAAAAAATAAAGGTATTGTGTCCAAGAATAACTAAAAAGTATTTTAAAACATGTGGGGGAAAGGGGCTGGGATAAGCCAGGCACATTGGTGCATGCCTTTAATCCCAGAGGCCCAGGAGGATAAGACAGCAGGATTCCGAGTTCAAAGACAACCTCAACAACTTAGCAAGGCCCTAAGCAACTCAGTGAGACCCTGTCTCTAAATAAATAAAATTTTAAAAAGGGTGGGGATGTGGTTCAGTAGTTAAGTGCCACTGAGTTCACTCCCCAGTACCAAAAAAAAAAAAAAAAAAGGGGGTGAGGGCTAGGATATAAAGTAGAATGATATTATGTAATTTGCTGATAAATGGATGGAACTGGAAAACATTATGCTGAGTGAAATACGCCAGATTCAGAAAGTCAAAGTTCAAATGTGTCTCTTACATGTGGAAGCTAGAGAAAAATAAGAAATTTTAAAAGAGGGGATGGGTGATCTTTTGAAAACAGAAGGGAGAACAAGGGAAGAGAGGAAAGGAATGAAAGGGAGGGAGGAGGGATAAGAAAGGGGAATGAGAGCAGAATGAAATTAACCAAACTATGCCACATACAAGAACGAACATATTACAATGAATTCCACTTTTTTGTATAAATATAATACACCAACTTAAAAATTAATTTAGAGTTCTGGGGAGTGATAATGGCCAAATTATACTGTTACACTATGTGTATGTATGAATATGTAAAACAACTCCCAACATTATGTACAGCTATAATGTACCAATAAATAATGTAGAAAAATTATTTTAAAAACCTAAATAAAATTAAAAGGGGTGGGGATATAGTTCAGTGGTAGAGAGCCCCTGAGTTTAATCCCCAGTGGACACATGGGAACCAAACAAACAAAAACAAAAACAAAAAATTATCATTATTGTCCCCTCTTAGAGATCCTCTGAAGTTGCTACAGATGAGTTTCCCACCCCTTGTATCTTGTGATCCACAACTACAAGTTACTTTCTTAATATTTATTTTTTATTTATAGGCAAACACAATATCTTTTTTTTTATTTTTATGTGGTGCTGAGGATTGAACCCATTGCCTCACACATGGTAGGTTAGTGGTCTACCTCTGAGCCACAACCCCCGACCACAAGTTACTTTCTTTTTGAAGGTCATAAAATTTATCTTCTCTGACTTTGAAAATCAAATAATTCTAATCTTTCCTTTCTCAGGCTTTGCCTTGATTTCCCAGGATTGCCTTCACATATAAAAAGTAGGAGTCATAATAGAAATTCACCCAGGTATTAATGATTATAAACTATAGAATCTATAAATCTAAAACCTTTCTTAAATATCTTTAATAAAGAATAATAAATAATAAACAATATTTCCAGCAATAGGGTGCATACTACTACTTCACAGAACAGTTCAATTACTTTTTTTCCCTAGAAATTGACACTTCAGTCCAGCATGGTGGCCCACACCTATAATCCCAACAACTTGGAAGGCTGAATCAGGAGTATCACAAGTTTGAAGGCAGCAATTTAGTGAGACCCTGTCTCAAAAAAAAAAAAAAAAAAAAAAAAAAAAAAGGGCTGAGGATAGAGCTCAGTAGTAAAGCATCCCTGGGTTTAATCCCCAGTACCCACCCCTACATACATACATACATACACACACACACACACAGACACACACACACACACATAAAGAATAAAAAAAAAAAGAAACTGATACTTCATATTCATATTAAAAATATGTCCAAGTTGAAAGCAACCTGGGTCATCTAAAACAATACTGACTTAGAAAATCCCTCTGCCAGGGAATTTTATAATTTGAAAAAAATCAATATTACAATGCTAAATATACAAATCAAAAAGGTTTACTTCCACACCCACCTACTCTACCCCCACAACAAAGGAAGGTTTTCATGTTTATGGAAGGGGACATGGTTTAAAAAAAAAAGGTAAGAAGATGTGTATGTAGAATCTTTTCTACATACACATCCCTAGTAGACAAATGTTAAACCTCTGCTTGACCTCCTCCACTGTTAGGAAATACATACTACCTGTGAAAATCCTTTATTCCTTTTTAAGTCTGCTCTACCTGTAATAAGATGCTGTCTTCTAAGCCAGGCATATACTTGTAATCCCAGCAACTCAGGAGGCTGAGGCAGGAGGATGGCAAGTTCAAGGCCAGTCTCTGCAACTTAGTAAGGCCCTAAGCTACTTAGCAAGACCCTATCTCAAAATAAAAAAATAAAAAGGGGTAGGATGTAGCTCAGTGGTAAAGCACCCCTGGGTCCAATCCCCAGTACCTAAATAAGTAAATAAATACTGCCCTCTAGCTAACTCTGCCTCTTATACAGAGAACTTCCATGTAAAGATCCTTTAAAAACCTGAAAGGAACCAAAAGATCTTACTCTGTTTTTCTTCCAGGCAAAATCTCCCTAGTTCCTTTACTATCTCAGGATAAAAAGTTTGAAGTTATTTTGTATCCTTCATGCTTTATTTCCAGTCACCAAATCCTATCAATTTTCCTTCAAAATGTCCAACTTATTCATTTCCTTCCCAATTCCACTATAATTACCCTATACCAGTCCTTCACATCTCTATTCTCCTAGCTAGTCTCCCATATTCTAGTCTCTCCCAAACCCTAATTCTTTCTCCATGGCTGCTAGACCCTTGTATTTGAAGCACTCTATCAAGTGCACATTGCAGTGTTTAATGCTTTAGCAAAGGAACAGCAGTATGTATATGTCACATGAAGATGCTCAAGACAGCTATCTATTCCTACAACAGAAACTGAATAGAAATAATAATGGAGAAATGACTAAACAGATTGTAGTACTATGACTATGGTGCCACTATTAGAAATATTATGAAGACTATGTGGAAATATGGAATTGTTATGCAATGATAACTTTGTATTTGGTTTTTAAAATTTATGTCCATTGTCTAAAACTGTATAGAAAATGATAAATCAATAAGAACAAAAATTGAACAATTAACATTCCAAAGCAAAGACATCATGGTTATGGAGGGTTTATGGGGCTTTTCCTATGCAAAATTCTACAATGAAAAAAAAAGTTTTTTTATGACAGACACAATCAATCAGGCACAAACAAAATGTACTAGAATGTTAAAATACTTTTATAGATTTTAAAATATTATTCATTTATTAAACTAAGGTGGTAGTCAAACCATACAATAATAAGGCAATAATAAGTTACTATAAAGCCTCTGAAACTAATTGAATTTCTAGCTAATTCTACCCTATTTCATGTTTCTATTATTCTTAGTCACCTCCTAAAATATATTCTCCTTTGGATATTTATCCTTATATTTCTCTGTGCTTCATGTCCCCTTTTATTAATCCTACCCTTCTAAAATCTCTCAGTTGCAATACCCTAAACTTTTATTCAATGTTAACCTACACCCACACATTCATATTCTAAAAGTATGCTTCTCTTTTCACCATAATTATATTCTGATTCTGGCTTAGTGGTTAAGAACTTCTGGGTTCAATCCCTGATACCAAAAACAAAACAAAATAAAAATCAAATAGACCTTCTATTTAATCAGGTGACACAAGGGAAAAATTTCTCCTTGTTTCAGAATGTTTACAAATATTTTATCAGTTACAGAACCTCTTAAGTCAAACATCTACCAACAGATGAATTAAAGACCCCCATTTTAGATTGCATTTTGCTAGTTTTTCTCATGTCTTTGACTATT